TACTGCCCCCAAAATGGAATTTTTACAGAATTCATTAATTGACATGATTTCTGATATGCTTAAATCTAACTCCATGTTTGATGCTATTCAAACTGGAGTAAAATTTGCAAATAATATTGTCATGACTTTAAAATTCAGTAATGGATTTTAAAGCATTAAATATTGTAAATTGGAATGCTCGATCTCTTAAAGATAATGAAGACGAGCTATTTAACTTTTTAAGAGTTCATAACGTGCATATTGCCGTTATAACTGAAACGTTCCTTAAACCTGCCCATAAGGTTAAGAAGGACGCAAACTACTTGATTTATAGAAATGATCGTCTTGATGGACCCTGTGGTGGCGTTGCCATCATTATTCATAGACGAATCAAACATAAAATTCTTTCTTCATTTGAAACCAAAGTTTTTGAAACTTTGGGAGTTTCTGTTGAAACAAAATTTGGACAACTTACGTTTATAGCTGCCTATTTGCCATTCCAATGCGTAGGCCAGCAAAAGAATTTTCTCAAGGGTGACCTCCAGAAACTTACCCGTCATAGGTCTAAATTCTTCATTATTGGTGATTTTAATGCAAAACACCGCTCATGGAATAATGCTCAAAGCAATTCCAATGGTAATATTCTGTTTGATGATTGTTCTGCAGGTTATTACACTATTCAATATCCAAACAGCCCAACATGCTTTTCTTCTATAAGAAATCCCTCCACTATTGATTTGGTCTTAACTGATTCATGTCAACTTTGTAGCCAATTGGTTACCCATGCTGACTTCGGTTCTGATCACCTTCCAGTAACTTTTGAAATATCCCAAGAAATAATTTGTAATCCCAACAGCTTTACTTTCAATTACCATAGAGCTGATTGGGAGCAATATCGAACATTTATGGAATATAACTTCGATCCAAACATTCCTTTGCAAACCAAAGATGAAATTAATTATGCTCTTGAATCTCTGACTACTTCTATAGTTGAAGCAAGAGCTGCCTCAGTACCAAAATGCGAGGTTAAATTCGATTCAATTATAATAGACGATGATCTTCAGCTCTTGATCCGTCTTAAAAATGTCCGTAGGAGACAATATCAAAGAACACGCGATCCTGCCATGAAAGTTATCTGGCGGGATTTGCAAAAACAAATTAAAAAGCGATTCTCTGCCCTGAGGAACAAAACTTTTGAAAATAATATTTCTAAATTAGACCCGAATTCCAAACCCTTTTGGAAACTCACAAAAATTTTGAAAAAACCTCAAAAGCCTATTCCAGCGCTTAAAGAAGGTGGTAAAATTTTGATCACAAATTTGGAAAAAGCTCAGAAACTTGCTAAGCAATTCGAGAGTTCCCATAATTTCAGTTTGGGTCTTACTAGTCCTATTGAGAATCAGGTTGCTCGGGATTTTCTGAATATTTTCTCTCGGGAAAATATTTTTGATGATTCCTGGGGGACTGATTTGGACGAAGTAAGGTCTATAACTAAAAAATTTCAAAATATGAAAGCTCCAGGTGATGATGGAATTTTCTATATCCTCATCAAAAAACTCCCAGAGAGTACCTTGTCTTTCTTGGTAAAATTATTTAACAGATGTTTCCATTTGGCATACTTTCCTGATAAATGGAAAAATGCAAAAGTTGTTCCAATTTTGAAGCCGGATAAAAATCCAGCTGAAGCTTCTAGCTACCGCCCAATAAGTTTGCTTTCTTCAATAAGTAAACTTTTTGAAAAGATAATTTTGAATAGAATGATGCTTCACATCAATACGAACTCAATTTTTGCAGATGAGCAGTTTGGATTTCGCCATGGGCATTCAACTACTCATCAACTCTTAAGAGTTACCAATTTAATTCGTTCAAACAAATCGGAAGGCCACTCAACTGGAGTTGCTCTTCTAGACATAGAAAAAGCATTCGACAGTGTTTGGCATGAAGGTTTGATTGCTAAATTGAAAAAGTTTAATTTCCCACTTTATATTATGAAATTAGTTCAAAATTATTTAACTGACAGAACTCTTCAAGTAAATTATCAAAATTCCAAATCTAATCGACTACCTGTTAGGGCAGGAGTTCCTCAGGGTAGCATTCTTGGGCCTATCTTGTATAACATTTTCACTTCGGACCTCCCTGATTTGCCTCAGGGTTGCCACAAATCTTTGTTCGCTGATGACACAGGCATTTCCGCTAAAGGAAGAAGTCTTCGTGTTATTTGCAGCAGACTGCAGAAAAGTTTAGATATTTTCTCTTCTTATTTACAAAAATGGAAGATTTCTCCCAACGCTTCCAAAACTCAACTTATAATATTTCCACATAAGCCTAGAGCTTCGTTTTTGAAACCTAGTAGTAGTCACATAGTCACTATGAACGGAGTTCCAATTTCCTGGTCAAACCAAGTGAAATATCTTGGATTAATACTTGACCAAAAATTAACTTTTAAAGATCACATTGAGGGCATTCAAGCCAAATGTAACAAATATATAAAATGTTTGTATCCTCTTATAAACAGGAAATCCAAACTTTGCCTGACGAATAAACTTCTAATATTTAAACAAGTTTTTAGACCGGCCATGCTTTACGCTGTGCCAATATGGTCTAGTTGCTGCACTACCAGGAAAAAAGCACTTCAAAGGATTCAGAACAAAATTCTGAAAATGATTTTGAAGTTGCCTCCCTGGTACAGTACTACCGAAGTACATAGAATTTCGAATGTTGAGACTTTAGCACAAATGTCCAACAAAATAATTAATAATTTCAGGCAAAAATCGTTGCAATCCTCAATTGCAACGATTACTTCCCTTTATACTTAGATAAGATTTAGTTTTAGTTTTTAGTTTTAAGATATCAATTGTTATACTGACATGCAGGTTAAAAAACCTGTTTAAAATACTGAATTGCCAAGACATGAACAATGTAAAAACACTTAGATATATATCATAACAATTAAGGCTGGTACGTTACTGCAGTAACTGGAGCACCTAGGTTAAAATGAAATGGAATTTATTTTAAATTTGGAACAAATAAAGAGTTAAAAAAAAAAAAAAAAAAAAAAAAAATGATGACGATTCTGAAGATTTCCTGCAGAAAGATAATGCGCGATGCAAGTAGATGCGAGAAATGAAAGAAGATTTTTCGAAGATTGATTCGCTAGTGTGAGATTTTTAGAGCATCTAGAATTGAAATTTAGATGTGTCGTCCCCTCGCACTTTCGTGCAATTTTAAATTGTAACAGTTGAAAAATGATTAGTTCTTAACCTTTACAGATGCGTACAAATATTTCTGATCGATTGGTGATAAAATTGTTGCAATTGGTCCAGGGGCAGCTGAGTTATTAACGTTCAAAATCTTTCATAATTTTGTAGCATGTTCCATTTTTGGTTTTCACAAAGTGTACCCTCATATAGAAACCACAGACGTAGTTCTACGTCAAAAGTTGTCAAGTGAGTCTCCCCTTTTGCTAAATAACATTGAAAAATTCCTGTTATTAATTTTGATTTCTTCTTAATTTTAAGAACAAACCACAGAACAATCATCTCAGGATACAACCACAGACAAACGACATAACACATTGGATATATTTCAATATACAACATCGTCGCTAAAACACTACCTCCATCACTACCTGAGTATACTGTGATGGGCAATACGCTGAACCGATGGCGGTAATGTGTAAATCCCAAACGGGAGGGAATTGGCTATGCGCGCCACAGGTGGCGGTACCACCAACTAAAAAACATTTTAAAAGACCGTTAAATGCGTGTTCGATGAACAACTTGCGAGCGTTATGTCTGTTTGTCTGTTATACAACCATGCAAGAATGGCCTATGACTTACTAGGAAGCTGTAGTTGATATGCAGATGAAATCCAGTCCCAAAACCGACACGGCTTGACGATGTAGAAACAGTTCGAAGGCACTTTCGAGAGGAGTTGGCCTATAAACACCAAAGTCAATTGGAAATCGTACTGCGCCGACGTGCGAAGGCCGGGTATCTCAGGTGCCATCTACTTAGATGAATTTACTAATGAACAACCAAAGGCCTTTGTGGTTACCGAAATAGCGGAACAGGTGTATCTATCGTTCATGAATTCCCTACACAGCTGCAGGGAGGAGAACAAAAACCACCGAGTCCTGCAACCTGAGCAGCAATATGGAATAGAAGTACCTAAAAGTTTCTCAGCAAAATCAAAACTAGCTGAATTGCTGCCCGTTCTGACCACCGTCGTTTACATTTTCGATAGAAATGAATAACCAAATCGTTGGATAACACGAAGCCCTCGTGAAGCTTCGTCCTAGCGCATTACGGTTTAGCAGGGACCGTCGTCCAGACGATCTTTCACTCTGCCAGGGGAGGAACATTTAGGATTGTGGCACCTTTTTGAATTGAAGCCCTCCAAAGTAATTAATAAGGATTTTCTCAATTTTCTACTTCTTGCGTAACATTTGAAAATGGCCTATCAGCTTTTGTAAACAAACTGCTAGGGGATTTTTTTCTCTTTCCGATACAATAATAAAAATACAATGAGTATAGACATGGTTTGCCTAGGCGAGCATCGGTTCGCGCGAAAATGGCCTCACAAATTGCAAAAGCTGATAGGCCCTTTGCAAATGATACGCAAGTTCATAAAAAACGAATCGCCATTTAATTATATTAGAATATATAGACCATATATATTTAGGAGAAGTTTTCCCTTTTTAAATTACATTATAACCTAACATTAAAAAGAAATGATCTTTGCATTTCCATCGAAGGGGTTTGTATAATTTTCTGCTTATCAATTCAATACAAGACGAATGTAAAGTAAATTGAGTGGAAATTTGGTTTCGCTGTTCGCTTAAAAACCATTCGAAACACGTTTGCCGTAACTTACTTTAAATGCACTTAAATACTCGAAGACATAGAATCCGAAAAGGGAAATGAAAATATACGACATAAATCATAGACAGAAAGTGAAAATTTTAATTTTAATAAACGACTGGTAGATGTATTTCTTTGAACTTTTCTGCCTAGTTCTAGTTTTTGTTATTGTTGGTGAGAGTTCTTTTGGTAATGTGCCACTAATTACTGTATCTGGTGGTAGTTGTCAAAAAGCGTCATAGGTCTATTGGAGATGTACATTATGTTATATTTTGTTAAGACAATTTTAATTCAGTTACCAGGTATGAATTCAGAGCTTTTTTTTTTTGACGCACGAGTTGTCAAAATCTCACCCGTTGCCCTCGGAAGGGTTTGGTGGTTGGTGAGATTGAACTGTGCGTAGATTCAACTGGAATCAAGCTGCAAGCATTTCGATTAAAAATATGCAATTTTTGCTAATTAAAAATTACTATATTCGACTATTTATTTTTCAGTATTCACCATTGAATGAAATTGTCTGTGCTTAGAATTTGAACGGTCATTTCTGAAAAGTTTTTCAAAACTTTGTACTTACGAGTCGATCAAATGGATAATTTATGTATAAGTGTGATTCGAAGCTACGTTGGTCTTTTGGCGTCTAGTGACAGTTGAACTGATCACGTATAAATAAAAACTAGTTGCAACTTTAGGCTCTCTGTCTAAAAATTCACAATGAAAAATACCATAAGCGCACAGCTTTGCCAACTTACCTTTAGCATTGTTTGTATCTTCTAACTTTTGATGGGAACAGCAGCGATGCGGTGCAATGCAAATAAAATGACGTCCTCATCCCCAAAAGCTGAAACTTCTAGGGTGTCGTTCGTCCGGTTATCTACAAGTTTCATTTCTTTTTGCTCTTACCCAACGTAAGGGTGTGGTGGGAAGCAGCCATCTGGGACTTGCGGCGATTGAACTCGACAAATTCTTCTTCGAGCTTCTTGCGGGATTCCTCCAGTTTGCGCTTATCCTCTGCATGGTCCTTCTTCAGTTTATCGAACTTGGCGTGAAGCTTGAATTAGAGTAGAAAAAAAAAGAATTTAAATTTGATGTCCATATAATTTCTTCGTATCGAACTTACATCCTTCTCGCTTTCCTTCAGCTCCGCCTCCTTTTCCTTCACGCGAACGACAAACATTTGCCGGACCTCGTCCTCCTTGGCCTGCAGATCGGCTAGATGATTGCTTCTCTTGGCCTCGAATGTTTGCTGGAACGATACCGGCTTGTTATCGCTGTCAACGTCGGTGAATCCCATCTGCTCGAGACGCTTCTGCCGGTACAGTTCATAGTGTTTGGTGTGCGTCTTTTCGCGCATATCTTCCATATTGGTACGGATCAACATTTCCCGAAGCTTAACAAAGTCACAGTGAGCTTCGTTCTCCACCTGAACCGTTCCCCAAGGATACTGACGGGCGCGAACCGTCTTGTTGCCGACTCGAACGAAGTCAGTGCTGCCCACTACGGCGAATGGAATGTGCGAATTCATGTTAGCGTTGATTTCCGCGACCGATTCATCGTCCGTAGGGAAGTGGTAGATCTGAACTCCATTGTTTCGTAGCTCATCATTAATCTTAGCTTTAAACTTGGAGAGCTCCGTCTTGGAAATAGTATCAGCTTTGGCAATGATCGGAATGATGTTCACTTTGGAATCCAACTTTTTCATGCAAACTAAATCCAACGACTTCAAACCGTGTCCCGTGGGACAAATGAAATACAAACAAATGTGTGTACGGCTGTCGTGATACGAAGACAAAGATCGCTTGATTTTCAACTCCTCCTGCAGGAAAGTTTCAAACTGCAGATCAATGTAATCGACGACGGATTTAAACGAATCGTCCTTGTTGATTTGATCGCCATAACCAACGGTGTCACAGATTGTTAACTGAAAATTACGAAAAAAATTCACTCATCATTTATCACTATCAAAAACGATCCGCAAATAAACTGGCAATTACCTTCAATCGAACCATGCTCTCCTGCAGCTCGTAGGTATGTGCCTTCAATTTGACATTCGGCAACGAGTGTGGGCTCGGTTGCGATTCGAAGTTCGTGTTGAACAACGAGTCCATCAGGGTGGACTTGCCGAGACCGGTTTCGCCGATGCACAGGATGTTGAACACGAACCCATTCTGGACGCTCTTGGTGACCAGTTGATCCGGCATACTGTCGAACCCGACATGGCCGGACAGCTTCAGGGTGCGTGGTAGGTCGTGCTGGAATCAGAAAGAAACGAACTCGTTAGCATATAGGAAAGCGGGGGTCGCCAGTTGTAGCGACATTTCCACCGCAAAAGATCTTATTCGACCACGAACGTGACTTCCTCTGAGATTTCCTGTGGGTCTCATATGGCATTCAAAATCAAATAACGACCAAAACAGGTAACCCATATTTGTGATCACCTAGGTTGACAATTCACAGTCCGTTGCATAACACACAAACAAACTTTAAAATATTCAGCTATTCATTGAGTGATCAGATTTCAAACAAGTTTGCGGTCAACGAGAGTTATGTTCCACCTCATACAATGCCTATGATTGTTACACATAGTAGGCATGCACCTGCTCGTTGTAGGCAACTACACGCTTAGTGGTATTCGACTCCAGTTCACTGGGCTGTCTGGGCATTGTTTACTCTGGTTAGGGGTTTGTAAGTTTGGTTTGGTTACGCTCCGCCTAACCGGAGACGAGCATTCGCCAAATGCATTATTTATAAAAACACAGTTTCAGCAGCATACTATCTTTTCGTAGAATAGTAATGGGCAATTTGTGCAATGAGTGTAAGACCCAATTAACACCAATACGCTGCTCACTTAGTATGGGCTATGCCTATGATAGTGAGTGGAGCAGCTCAATCAAGCGATGGTTGTATCGAAATGATCGTATATTTGTTTCGATTTGTTGTCAACCACACAAATAGGGTCGCCGACCCAGCAGAACAACATTGTTGCGCGTTTGTTTATCCATTTCGTATTCCACCCGAAACCTCCCCATGAATCGCCTCTATGTGTCTCTATGGGACTGAAACCCATACGCGGATGAGGTCCGAAATGGGTGTAACATAATGAGAAAAAGATTACGAAGAGACGCTGACGGGTGAAGCAAAACTGGAAAAGCCGTCACCGGTTGTTGCCGTCGTAACAACATAGGTACCTATAATGCTTTCACTGAACTCGATGATCAAAAACGGAAGGAAACAAAACAATCTTTTTTTTTGGATATGCCATTGGATATTCTATAATTGCATGCGCGCCGACGCAAAGTGATATTGGATTATTTGGCCACCTAAGGTCGTCACTTTCACTCCTTGCCTAGACGAGCGACAGGATCACTGACCAAAATTGATCGCTTGATTGCTAGATTTCTGTTTTCGCGCCAAATGAAGCGTAAAGTCATAAAATGTGTGAACGTCGTGAAGAATCGTTTCTACTCTACTATACCGAGTAAGGTGCGTTGCTTTCAAAAAATGTACATACTTAGTTTAAACTGATACAAATTTTGAGATTTTTGCCAAGCAACATGCACAAATTGCTAACATCCACAAATTGCTAACATCCACAAATCGGTGCGGTGCATATGCCGAAATAGTTCTCCAAACTATTGATTATCTTTCCAATATATAGTTGAAGACTGTTTGCATCGAAATTGTGAAGGGAAAATCTATTCGTGCATGTCCTAGGTAGGGTTAACTACCCCATTTCCTGCCTATTAAGCACAACCTGCACTTACTCTTTCTTAATCTTGCGCAGTTTAGCACCAAACGGAATGTTTTTATTACTGATGGTTTCCAAATTTATCTACCTTTCTGTACGTACCGTAAGATTTGATAAAGAAAAACCAATCGTTGAGATATTGTCAAAAGTCTAACATTGCTTCTTGACGCCAAACTCGGCCTACGGATTCTAAACTCGGCCTAACGCATTGAAACGCCAATGAATTCACTTCGGCCTATCGGATGAAGATAAAAATTGATTCGCTCGGAGCGCTTCTTTTGTTTTTGGGAATAATGGGTGCAAACTTTCATATCACGCGTTCTCATTGACTTCGTTCGGTAGCTTATTAACTAAAGTATCGTACCAAACGCATAATTTACTTGTTAACTCTGAAATCATGGATTTATTTGAAGTTTTCTGCTCGATATGCCCAAAATGGGCGATTAGGCCGAAGTAGTTCTCTGCCGTACTAACATTTTAACATATCCTTCTAGGGATATGTTTAGTTTTTAAGATATTGATCAGGAACTACGAGAGATAAAATATTTATGTCTACACGGTGGTAAAGTTATTAAGCTGGATAAGATCTTACAGTAAGTGACATTTTTTGGAATTAACTCACTAAGTGGTACCTGGTGGTACCAGAGAGCAAAACATATTATCATGATTCATGATGACTACAATCCGATACCAGATAGAATGTTCCTGACTGGGGCAAAGTTGTTCATCTGGAGATGACCCGTCTGACAGTAGATACTTTAGTTTGGAATCAAATTATTAGGTGGCGCTCGGATCCGTAGTCAGATAAAAGGATTCTGTTTCGGCAAAGTTGTTCGGTTGGACAAGACCTAACTGAGTTACTTTTTGACGTAGGACTAGGTCTGTGATTTCTATATGGGGGTACACTTTGTGAAAATCGAAAATGGAACATGAAACAAAATTATAAAAGATTTTGAACGTTAATAACTCAGCTGTCCCTGAACCAATTTCAATAATCATCAATCAATCAGAAATATTCCTACGCATCTGGTAAGACTATCATTTTTCGAAATGTCACTATTGAAAATTTCACGAATGTGCAACTGTTGCTGCGATAGTTAAAATTATCACCGATTGCCTGCGAAAAGCGATTTCCCTAACACAGATTTCAAAGTTGAATTCCATCCGGTCTTACCAAACGGTGTTTATTCAATCACCGCGTGGTGAGTGGTGGTGTTCTCCAGTACACAACGAAAGGCTTCCCCCAAGCAGCTAGCTATCATGGGTGCTCACAACCGCTGATCGGATTCAGTTCCAATCACCGTGTGTGGTTGTGTCCGGTCGTCTAGGCATCAGCAACCGCAGGACAAGCTGCACCGCTAATGATTGGAATCAGTAGCTCTTCGTTAGTCGCTGTGGGTCATCTATGCCAAGCGCGTCATACTAAAGAGTAAAAACAGAGAGATCCCCGCTCAAATTCCTATTCCTACACAAAACACGAGCTCCTGCTGCAGTTAACAAATAACATTTATAATATAAGATCACGTAGTCCTGCGTCACCATTGCGTACAACCCCATAGGGCTGTCCCTTGTAGTTTTTTAATTACTTTTGCTGATCCAACGTCCCTCATGATTTAAGCTGCATTACAATGTTCTGCCAAAATGGTGAGTTAACAACCTGGAAGGAGCGGAATACCAAGCTCTGGTCCTCACAAGTTCCTACTTCACGCCTCCCCGAGTCATATGATAACAAAAGACTACCAGCTGAAACATGGACACAGCTGGGTGGCGTAGCCTGGACAATGTTTCCAGTCCGACGCGAACACTGGCACAGTAACCATAGTACGGTGATAGAGGAAATGCTTCACCAAACCCGAGCGTCCGCTCACCATTGAGGTGCGGCTCAAAACGGCGTCTGTTCTCCATGTTATGAGCGGCTGATCACCGTCCTAGTACCAGCGTGGGACTCTAAACCGAGCTGTGCACGATGGTCCCCCGTTGAGACAGGGGGTTGGGGCAGGCCCAACAAGCCGCCCTGGAAAAAACAAAGTTGCAAATACTGAAGAAAGAAATACGGATCGGAACAATCGGCACAGACCTGCGTGACGAAATAAGGACTACTAATCTAATCTGATCTAATCTAATCTAATCTAATACAAACGCAGCCAGTACGAGAAAGCATCCTGGAAAATGATTAGGTTAGATGCGATCTAATAATTTTTCTTGTCTAATTGATGTTTACAGCATATCTTAGATATGATATAAACTTAAATACGGCCAGGCCTACTGCGTTGTATTTGCGGCAAAGATGATTCTTGTTGGAATGGGAACATTTCTTGAATCTACAGGGGTGGAAGGATGCGTGGACATACCGTACCAAACGCTCCGACTACAAGACGAAATAAGGACTACGATTGGAAACTCGGAACTGCAAATCGCTCGGCTTCCCGGGCTGCGATAGGTTAATCTATGACGAACTTCAACCACGCAACCAAGTCGTAGCACTGCAGGGACTTTGCTGGACGGGACAAAAGGTATGGAAAGGGGGCATCGAGCGGCAACTTTCTACCAGAGCTGTGGCACCACCAACGAGCTGAGAACCGGCTTTGTAGTGCTGGGTAAGATGCGCCAACGCGTGATTGGTTGGCAGCCGATCAACGCGAGGATGTGCAAGTTGAGGATTAAGGGCCGTTTCTTCAACTACAGCATCTTTAACGTGCACTGCCCACACGAAGGGAGACCTGACGACGAGAAAGAAGCGTTCTATGCGCAGATGGAGCAGATGTACGACGGCTGTTGGCAACGGGACGTCAAAATCGTCATCGGCGACATGAACATGAACGCTCAGGTAAGACGGGAGGCAATGTATAGACCGACAATCGCGCCAAACAGCCTGCATGCCGTATCGAACGACAACGGCCAACGATGCGTAAACTTTGCAGTCTCTCGGGGTGTTCGAAGTACCTTTTTCCCCCGCAAGGATATCCACAAAGCCACCTGGAGATCACCTGACCAACATACAGAATACCAAATCGATCACGTTCTAATCGACGGGAAATTCTTCTCCGACATTATCAACGTCCGCACGTACCGCAGTGTGAACAAAGATTCGGACCACTACCTTGTTGCAGTCGAAGTCGAACGCCGCGACCCAACATTGAGCAACTACGGGACGTCAGAGTTGCCCAGGACTACGCGCAGCAGCTGGAAGTTGCACTACCCACGGAAGAGCAGCTTGGCGCAGCTACTCTTGAAGATGGTTGGAGGGACATCCGTTCCGCCATAGGTAGTACTGCTGCAGCGGCACTAGGTACTGCAATCCCGGACCGAAGAAATGACTGGTTTGACGGCGAATGCAAACTGTTAGCAGATGAAAAGAATGCAGCACGGGCGAGAATGCTTCAACACCGTGGAGCGATACAGACAAGCGATACAAACTCGAGTATTAGTACAAGACACTGAAGAAGTCTGCACATTGTAGACGAAATACGCGTATCTGTCAAGGATAAGCAAATAAAGTAGTGG